CGCCTTCTAATGCCATGTGGTTGACCTTGGCGCTCTACCGAGAGTTTATTGTCCTTTCAATAGAACACGCTGAATAAACTCGAATTTTAGCTGACGTACCCAGAGATAATCATATATTTCTTGAAATATATATTATATACATAGCATATGTACAGTTTATATGTACATACTTATGTGCTGCACTAATTCTGCGAGGAACTAGTTTGAGATTCCAATTCCGACTCCGATTCCTGAAAGCCGAACAATAATAAGCGAGCGAGCGAGCGAGCAACAACAACAAAAACAGTCCACAAAGTGCATATAAAAAATGTATTTATGTCCCAGCCGTGCTGACTGACTTCAGATGCTACAAGTATATCCCAATGTCCCAAGATGCTGCTCTTCCCCTCGCAACAGCTGACTGGATCTACGCGCGCGCCTGTTTAATTGCATCTGCGTGGGCATCTCCTCCTCCTCCTGCTCCTGCTCCACTCCCTCCTCCTGGGCCACTCGTTTGTGGCATCGCTGTGTGACTTTATGCAAATTAAACAAGTTCGCTGCCAAAATATAGCCGTCTGCCGTTGATTTGTTGTTGCTCTGCTGCTGTATTTGCTTTTAATTATTTATTTGCATTTATGTGATGAGTGTACGCTGTGTGTGTGTGCACTGTACAGGTGTATTTGTCAGTGTAAGTAGTTTGGCTAGCCCCCCCTCCAGAGCACTGGCTGCTTTTGTGGTGTCTGCCCAAAAAGCGATTCCAAAAACCCAAAAAACCAAACATGTTTCATGTTTTTTGGGCGTTTGCTGCTCGAGGAATATCTACGCTATTATTGATTAGCTAAATTGTTGCTAATTAGTTTGACTTTGAACTTGATTTAGAGCTTGTTTGCTATGGTGGGGGCACAAATCAGTCCCATCAGTCCTCGATCGGTGCAAAGAACGAACCGAAGTCACGTTCTGGACACTCTTTTTGCAGCTGATGTCAACTGATCTATAATCGTTCTGCCTCTTGTTATTCAATTTCCAGTCTGGACAGTAACTGGCACTGGCTAGCCCCCATTCATGCCCTAATTGCCGCCCAGTGGAACACATTTGGAGCGTTTCATGATCATGACTAAGGTCAGATTCATAAAAAACCGCATAAGCTGCGAGTAGACCCAATTTAGCGGACACAAAACGACACACTCGAAATTTGTGCGCAAAGAAATTAAAAGCGAGCGAAATGGAAATTGTTTATACAGAGACCCGAGACCAGACCCTGCATTTGCATAAACATTTGCACGTTCATTGTGTATCGAGGCATTGCGGTTTTGGGTGTCCAGTGCCGTCTCGTTTCGTCTCGTTTCGTCTCGTCTCGTCTCGTATTGTATCATGTGGATGGATGGCTGAGAAGACCCTCGCAGAGGCGCTTCCATTTTCAAGGGTTTGCCTTGTCTGGCAGCTCGGATTTTCCGTTTGCAACATTGAACTTGAGAGCTCTCCCCGATCTCTACGATTTGCTGTGGCTGTTCAGGTGTTGCCGGAGTCAAGTGCTGCCGGATCTGGATATGTTGTTGTAGCTCTAGCTCTAGCTGTAGCTGTATCTGGATCTGGTGCATAAATCATGCGCGTCCGATGATATCACGTGTTATAATTAGAACGATGCATTTTCACTTTTCACATCCCCAACATCGCGCGATCAAATGTCCGTATCCGCATAGGGCTGGCCAACTTGACAGCTGAAAATCGTGATATTTGATGATAGCACGAATGGAGGGGGAAGAGGGGGAGCAGCGACACCCCATCGAGCCATCGATGGAACGAACCAATGCCCGTAAAGTGTCGTTCATTATGACCTCCTGGTTGCATTTGTTGTTGCCGGATTGCCATGCTTCTTGTTACAAAGTAATTGCTGGCGGCTCTTTAAAATATGCACCAGCGATACTGTCAATAGTCTGAGAGTATCTCTGGCCCGCTGGCCCACTCCAACTTAGAACTGGAGACTCCAGTGGCCAGCAGGTTGGCCATGAGAACATGTTATTAAATTACTGTAATAATGTATTAGCTATGTAAGAATGCTACAAATGTTAATATGTAATAATAATTGTAATAGCTTCTTGTTGTTGTTGCTAATCTACTCGACTTTGGTCCGCAGTCCGCGGGAGGGTGCCACTACGCACCTTGCTACGAGTCGGAACTCGCATTTGACATTTTCATGTTCAATTCCATGAAAAGGAATTACACATGTATTTATGTGTGTGACTGAGTGACTAATACACTTGCACATGGGGGCGGTCCATATCCATATCCATGCGTCACCTCAGGCTGGCACTGGGCGGGGTTTGAGCTTCAGCTTCCCTTTTGGATCGAAAATAGATGCACAAATAGAAGCCCAAGGGATGTTCCATGCCTATAAATAAATTTCTTCATGAATGTTTAGTACATCCCTTAATTATATGCAAACATTCTGTTGGTTGGCTTTGGTGGCTTTCGTCAAGACTCAACTCAATGTATGAATATGTTAATTAATTTTTTTGCCACTCTTTATTCAAAAATTGTTACTGGTTGCGCGGCGTTCCCGGTGCGCATTTGCTTTCTTCTCTGCGTCGTCGATGATTATTTTGGGAGTTATGCAATCAACATTTCTACTATAATAACAACAAATTGGGGGGCAGAGTGTCAAGGATGTGCATATCCAGTTCTGATTGTCTCCGCATTTGATGAGAATTTATTTGTGTGGTGTGCGTTTTTTGGTGTTTCTTTTCTGGCAACGAGTTAAACTTGTAAGTAAACTTTGTCGGCGTTGTGCAATTAATTAATATTGTTTATAAATTGTCTCAACTGATGTCGAACAATTGCGTGTGTCGTGTTTTTTGGGGTTCTATTGGCATTAAATGCTCTAATTTATGGCAGAGCTAATGTCAAAAAGTGCTGCTTTGACAGCTAAATTAGCATTTTGTCTGCCATTTCCCAGCACTGACTGTGGCTTCATTTTCTATATTTACACAATTGCCAACGAGTCTCTGCAGCCAGACGCTGTCTGCGACTGTTTGCTTATCCGCCCACACACTGGTCGCTCGTTAAACATTTATAAACAAATTATGTCAATTTTTGCGTAAACATCGCCGATCGAATCACAGCCAATCGCTGCAGCATCGAGTGCAGACAGACCGATGTCTGCAGTGGCAAATATTGAATTGCAGTCTACGCTTTACGGACCAAAATGTGTTCCGTTTTCAGCTGTCACAGATTGCCGTTTGCTATTTTGTCTGAATGCAACAGCGTCGCGTCAACATTTGAGTTTGGCTTTGCATTTATGTTACTTGAGCTAAATTACAGCGCATGAAATACGGAAGTTGTTATTGCTATTACGGCATTGATTGCAACCTGCACTTAGAGAGCGGAAAAAACACACACACACAGATATGTACATATAGACACAGAGTGTGGGAGGGAGACCCGGCAAAGGGCGTTTGGCTTTGGCCCAAACTTGTATGCTGCTAATTTTGATTTATTGCACATTGCCTTTTCGGGCTGTTTTTATCTCCTTAATGCTTCCTGTGTCTATGACTAGTCTCTCACCCGCTCATTGAGACTGAATTGATCTCGAGTTCGAGTTCGAGTTCGAGTTCCAGATCGGAGCGTGGCGCGCGTGTTATTTGATATTGAACTTGGCTTTGGCTTTGGCTTTGACGCTTTACACCGAGTGTGTGTGTGTGTGTATGTGTGTGTGTGTGTGGCACGAGCTCTGTGTCTCGCGTAAAACTCGCTCTCGCTCTCGTTATTGTTTTTGTTTTTGTTTTTGTTGTCGTTTTTTCGTCTTATTCTAATTTATTAATTATTTATTTATGTTTTCAGCGAGCCCAATGCACGCCGTAGGTGGCAGGCACTTTTGCTCTGTGTCGCATTTTGTGCATTAAACGCCTCTGAGCCATTTGTATGATTATTGTGGATATTACTTATGCAAGAGCCAAAACCATGTGCTCATGTCTGTGGGGGGTGAACGCCATGCTACTTTATGTACATATTTTTGTGGCTTAACAGACACTTTTTTGTATTGAAAGTCAGTTCATATTTGCAGCCTGGCTAACCGGCTCTCTTGTGGCAGTGAACAAGTTCAAGGCTAGGAATTTGTGGAGTTATAATATAAGGAATTAGAGACTGCAAATTAAACACTAAATTTCTCGCTGAGAGGATGGCTTCCACAAATTAATTTCCAAATAAAATAATTTAACACCAAACCATTCTTATATTTTTATCAAAATTAATGCTCCCTAACTAGACCATTCAGTGATCGATTCAGTGTACATTTTGATACCTGTTGTGACGTTACAAATAATCCGGTTTCGTGTGTTCAAATTATACCCAAAAATAATTGAGTTGAAAAAAGTACCAATAAAGAACGCAAAATACTTGTTTCGCTCAGAATACGATAAGATAATTAATTGGTGCTAATCTGTGCAACAAAGAAACCTAATAATAATAACAGTAAGAATAATGTGCACAGTCGTCTGGCATAGTCCCAGAGTTTCAAATAAGAAACAATGAGAACAAAAAGTTCATTAAATGCATTCTGTTTGCCAGCAAGCAGACGAGTTTTGCTCCCAATCGTAATACTCCGAGCTGTATTGTTAGCAATTTAATTGCAATTTATACACTGGGAGGTAGGACTTGGCTTTTATGGGATTCTCACTTGCCAATCTCAAGGTCGCCGGGGAGGCTCTTCGCTGTGTTTGGTTTTTTAATGGTGAATTAAATGTCGCGACGGGGCTGGGAGTTGGGCTAATAGGTTTCATGCCCTGCTATGATTCAATCAATTTGTAATTTCATTATAAAAGCTTACATTACCGGCCGTCGGGGGGCCCAGGGTAAAGTCCGGCAGAAATTCGCACGAAGACACAGAAGAGGCAGCAGCGGTGGCCACATGACACCTCGAGACAAAAAGCGAAGCGAAGCAGAGGAAACCTTTCGAAGAAGAAGAAGCTACTATATGTGCTATGATACCATAGTCCACGAATAAAACTAAAGAAACCAAGAGACCAAGCACACACACACACACATCACACTTTGACGCTTACCAAAAAAAAGCTCACAAATAGTTCAATGAACTTTTTGTTGTTTTTGTCTCTTTTATTGTATGTTGCTATGCTGGCGCTCTCGCTCTGTCTCTCTTTGTTTGTCTCTCTCTCCCTATGAATGCATGTCTCGCTCTTCCTCTCTTTCTCAGTGTCTTTCGGCATGTGTCTGTGTTTGTATTTATTTATGCTTTATTTTCATTTGTTTCGCCTATTTGAATTCAATTTTTCGATGTAGCCACAAAGGTGGGAAATGCATTGAAAGCTCAGGCGACACAGACACAAGCATAGACATAGACATAGACATAGACATAGAAATGTTTATTTGTAGATCGAATCGCGCTTACAACAATCCAATACCCGGGCGCCATGGCTGTCTCGTCTTCATTTAAATATTAGTTGAGATCTCTCAGTCTGGGAGCGAAATTATTGTCACGTAGCTCAGACAGGCAGACCTGCTGTTTATTTTGAATGAATTTTGATAGCTGCATGCAGGTTGCACCCCCACTACCCACCACTCTCCATAAAAATACATTTTCACATGCCTCTAATCAAGCGTGAATAATCCCATTTTGGGGACCCGGCGGCCACCATGCAAAAAAGCCTTTAAGCTTAATTGTTATGCTGATAGAGGCGCTAGATGGATTGGTTTCAGCTTCAGGCACAACAAAAACACTCAACCCAGAGTCTCACCTGACAGGTGTACCAAGCAAATACAAATACACGCACAGGTACCAGTCGTACCTGTGTGCGTGTGTGTCTCGGCCAGCTCACGTTTCGTTTATCGTCTTGGGAAGCTTCAAACTTGTGAGTTTGTTTTTTTTTCCATTTTATTTTATTATATTTTTTCGTTTTGTTGGTTTGCCCAAACACTTTGATCATTTTTACATACTATCAAATAATTATGAAAATATATTTGTTTGACATGCACAACGCGTCGAAGAGTTAATGCTCTTAAAGGAAGTCTAATTATTGTAATAGGCAGGGACTTACATGCAGTAAATAAACCAAAGGTAGCTGCCCATTTTGCATGACTCACATTTGCCCTCAGCTAGAACTCTCTTCCCTCTCTTTGCTGGCACAAATGTTTGCCCAAATTCGCCATAGCCCATTCCAAGTGCTTCAAATTTGTTTTAAACTAATGTGTAATAATAGTTTTTTAATTGAATTGTCGCAAATGCCAAGTACTTTGTCTCTTTTCAACCTATTTTGGCAGCTTTTTGCTTGTTTATTTTTGGTTTTACTGGAGTACATTTGCTGTCTGTGCTGTAGGCGCGTGCGTTTGGGATTGATATTAATTAATTGTCATGTGCCGCATTACACAATCTTTGTGCGAGTGGGCGGTGCGGTTAGCGTGATGCTGATGCTGCGCTGCTTACGCAATTCGGTGCCGTTTGCACAGGTGCCTCTCAGCTGCTGACGTCACTGATAGCAGAGTCTCCAGTCTCCCTGGAAAAGTACACAAACATTTAGATATATTTTTCATGCGCAAATTGGTTAACTTGGACTTGGCCAACAGTCAGCCTAAAGTCAGTGCCAAGCAATGAAAATTGCAACGTGTTTTGGCATTAGACGTGAAAGTGCGAGTTTGCACTCGAGACTGTGGGCACCGGGGGGGAGCGTTTCGCTGGCAGTTGGGGCGTGAGTGGGTGCTTGGACACTGCCTGAAATGGGAATGGGGTGCGGGGATCTGCACGGGGGTCGGTCTGTTGCCTACACCAACGTCAGTTAGTTGACTTTTATGGCACGTAATTTGCAATTGGCAAAACCAAGTCCAAGACATCCACGACAATAAATGTGGAGAGCTGCCAGCGCAAGCAAAACTTTTCACTTTTCATTTTGCGCTTTTCCATGCAACTCCCATCAAGAGTCAGGCGGTTGGCTGTACGTGCCTCCTGAGTGTTTTTTGGCCTGTTGGCCTATTAAGTCCCTGGCCCTTAGTCTTGCCTGGTTCTTGCATTTACTTGCATTTGGCTGCTGGCCAAAGTCTTGGCTTAATGCTAGGAAAAACCCCCGCTGCAGCCACTCACCTAATGGATTCGGTCAATCTATGCGTCGAGGCGACCCATTTAATGCGAATATTGCGCATACGCCCTGTTGACTCCGAATCAAGACCACGGACTCATGACTAATCGCAAATTAAGACGAAATGCAACATTTGGCACGTGAATCGTTCGATAGCTATGCGACAACAACTAACAAACAACTAAGCAAATATGCCAACTATTTGTCTTCTCTCTTTGGCCAAAACAACACAAAAATATGTTTGCAAATTAGGAGAAACTCTCATATTTTTCAGGGCACCAGCCAAGACGGGAGATGAAACCGAAACTGAAACTGAAACTGAAACTGAAACTGAAACTGAATAATATATAACAAAAGGCACTTGTCTGGGTGAAATTTTCACTAGATATTCAAATGAACAACAAATGTGGCGACGGTGGCAGCTGCTGGATTGGATTGGATGTTGCCTGAACAAACAGCCAACACACAAAAAACGGAAACCGTTAAAGCCAAACAACAACAACAACAGCAGCAACAGCTACAAGAAACGTTAGTTTTGGACTCGCTTTCAAATTGTACAAGTTGTTTGTGCTGCTGCTGCTGCTGCTGCTGCTGGCTGGGGTCCCCACCGCCTCCATTAATGAGGCGTGCTCCGTTGTTTACCCCACTTGAAAGCGACTTCAACGACGACGCTGACGACGCTGTTGAAGATCAATGGATTGTACGACTGTCCACGACCAAGAGCAAAGTGCCTGCTGCTGGTTGTTGTTGTTGTTGTTGTTGTTGGTGGTCTACCACTTTCGTTGTTACTGTTGTTGACTTTGAGCCGCCAAAGCTTTGAGCGATTTTTCATTGGAATAGAAAGTGAATTGAATTCGTTTTCGCTGCTATTTCTCTCCGTTCCATTGCTCTTGAGGCACACCATCTCTATCGCTCTTCATTGGGTGCTGGCTGTTTACTTTGAAAACGGAAAGCGAGGAAGAGCCGTACACCAGATGCGATGCTGCTATCTGCCCCAAAATTGGAGCATGTCATTGACCTTTTGGGCTGAAAGCCCGTAAGCAGTGAGAGTGCCTGCCGTTGGTTGTTTATCTTTCGGTTTAACTCGTTGTTGTTATTGTTGTTTGTCCAAGGGAAAACAACCAGCGGTAGAGGCGAAGCTTTTGCTGGTTGCTCGTGGATTTTACTCGAATGCAAGTGCGGGGTTCCATTTAAAAGGGATCTGGGAATCAAACAGTTATTAAGTAAAGGTGTAGGTAAAAGTTTAGCTTACAAAGATTGGATTATTATTACTAAATACAATTCGAAAACTGTTTCTCCCAGTTCCTACTTGGATTTTTAATGCATATCCTTGATATTCTTTGAGCATTTCGTGTCTATTTTACTTTCTACAGGATTTTCCATAATCTGTAATCTGCCTTAACCGACTTTAATGAATGAGCCTTGGAGACATTTATAGCTTTCTATTTTCTAGGGGGTCTTCTAGCATTTTCCAACATGGTCTCCATCCAGCACCACGGGCTGCAGTCCGCTGAGTCGATTTCTTTTACAAAAATGTGTAAATTAAACACAGGGCAGCAGAGGCAGCGGCGACAGCAGCGACAGCGACAGCGACAGCGCGGCATCAGGCCAATGAGTTTATTCACCTTTCGCCTAATTATTAAAATACATAAACGAAATGTACCAAAAAAGAAGATACTCGTGTGTACATACGCATATACATATATGTATGTACATATGTACAGCTACAAGAGGCTTCGTGCCAAAGCTTCGGTCAGGCCGATGACGAAGACATCGATCGGCTCGACAACTTCAATGAAATCAATTTTACGATAATAAGTTTTGAGAGCCCCCCTCCGAGGCATCTACCACCGCCTCTCCCTCTCCTTCTCCCTCTGCCTACGCCTCTGCCGAAGCCCTGCCTGTCGCTTCATCAGTCCCAGCCAGGCACCAGCCCATGTACCGTTGGAAATTTCTTGCTTTTTCTTTTCTCAGCCTTTGAATGTGTGTGCGTGTGTGTGTGTGTGTGTGCGAGTATTAAATTTGTTTTGTATGTATTTTGTTGCTTGTTTTTGTCGCTGTTATTGTCTTGGCGAAATGTAGGTCAAGTTATAACGTGAGAGAGTGTGTGGGGCCAGTGCCGTGTGCTGTAGCTGGTGGGACGAAACGTCGGGAGTCATCCCGTTGCCGCCTCTGGCTGACTGAGAGTCAGAGTTGGAGGCACAGACAGATCGTCAGACGATCGTCCAGGCACTCTGGCAGTATTTTCTAGTAGCTTCCTCCTCCCAGGCCAGGCCAAGTCAACTTTCACTTAGAAAGTTCTGCTTGCGGTTATGCCGAAATGCTTTTTGGCTGCTCGTGTGTGAGTCTGCCTGTGGGGCTGTAAGCGATATGAATGAATGAATATACATATGTACATATATCCAGCAACAAGTTAACTGGGTCAACGCGTGTGGGCCTGGGTATATGTGTACGAATATGTCTCTACATATTTATCTGATTGATCCAAGATAATCAACGAAAGCGATCGCCTGGCGTTTGAGTTGGGATGATGGGATGAGATGATCATTTAATTGCATTTTCAATGCTGCCTGTGGAAGCTTTCCGTTAGGAGCGACGTCATCGTGGAGCAACCTTGGCGCGATCAGCTGACAGACGCCGAGCGAGTGGCTCCGACTGCGAGTGGATTTCCCTGAACTTCATACTGAAAAGCTGAGCTAAGTGTGTGTCTGTGTGTGTGTTTGTCTATTAATAGCGGCATGCATGCTGCTCGCATATCCGCGTCGTCTGGCGGCTGCCGCTCTCTCTCTCTCGCGCTCCAAGTTTTCCTCTCTCTCTCTCCCACTCCGAGTGTACTTCCTGCTGGAAAAACTTGCTGAGAGCGCGCTGAGTAGAGCTTTTTGCTCTCCTCTCTCAGCTGCATTGTGTTTGCTCTCAGAATGCCAAATGCAGTTCCCAGTTGTTGCTGTTCTTGTTTCGCTGGCTGCTTTGTTGT